TTGATTCGCAACTTAGTTCATCTAAAATTTTCGTTGACCTCAATATAAATAACGAAATTTTAACATTTCAAGTAGATACTGGTGCAACATGTTCCTTAATTGGTTTGGCGGCATATAAACAACTGGGTAGACCTAGTTGTGGGCCTACGAATAAAGTTCTGAGAGCGTATGGAGGAGCTGTTATTTTTCTTAAGGGTTCTCTCAGAGTAAATGTCAAGTATGGAAATATTACTCGAAGCCTTGAGATACTTGTAGTTAACGATGAATATGTTACTAACATACTGGGATTGGATTTGTTTACAGTATTAAATTTCAAACTGCAGTTACCTGTTATTGAATGTTATGCAAATAATCCTTGTGACAGTCAACAAAGTTTAACCGCATCTCTACATGAACTCAGATGTCAACATGCTAACATTTTTTCTTCGAAATTGGGGCGTTGTACGTTGTTCAAAGCTGAAATCAGATTGAAGTCAGATGCTAAGCCTAAATTCTTTAAACCATACAACCTGCCGTTTGCGAAAAGAGAAGACGTTCGCATCGAAATTGATCGGTTGGTAAATATTGGAGTTTTGAAAGCTATCAGAAGCAGCGTCTGGGCCGCTCCTATAGTTGTAGTGTCAAAGCCAAATGGAAAATTACGTATTTGTGCAGATTTCAGAATTGGTGTGAACTCGCAAATTGAGATTGACAGGTATCCAATTCCTAGAGTTGAGGAACTTTTTTATAAACTTCAAGGAGGACAATTTTTCACAAAAATTGATCTTAGTGAAGCGTACTTGCAAGTAGAATTGTCTGACGCAACAAAAGAACTTCTAGTCATTAATACGCCATTTGGTTTGTTCCAGTTTCAACGATTGCCATTCGGTATTGCCAGTGCTCCTGGCATATTTCAACGTCTTATGGAAGAAGTAACCGCTGGAATACCGAACTGTGCAGTTTATTTAGATGATATAATCGTAACAGGTCGAAATAATAAAGAACATTTGAATAATGTTTTCAAAATTTTTCAACGTTTGGAAGAATACGGCTTGACATGTAAAAGCGAAAAATGTAGTTTTGCGCAAGAGCAGGTAGATTATGTTGGACACGTAATCAATGTGAATGGATTAATGCCCACAGGAAAATGTGTAGAGGCAATCAAATTAATGCCGCGTCCTCGTAATATTCAAGAAGTTGAAGCTTTCATTGGAAAAGTTAATTATTATAACAAATTCATTAAACAGTTTTCCATATTAGCTGCTCCTTTAAATGAACTAAGGAAAAAGAATGCTGTGTTTAAATGGACAGCATATCATGAAGATGCTTTTCAAGCATTGAAGAATGCTATGATCAAAGCTACGGAACTCGTTCATTATGATGATAAGAAGCCTATAGTGTTAGCAGTAGATGCATCTAAGTATGGAATCGGCGCAGTAATTTCACATCGTTATGCTGATGGTTCAGAGAAGCCAATCGCGTATGCTTCAAAAAAATTAAACAGCAGCCAAGAACGCTATTCTCAAATCGAAAAAGAGGCATTAGCAATAATTTATGGAGTGACCAAGTTTCATCAATATCTTTATGGAAGACGTTTTGAATTAATAACTGATCATCAAGCGTTGACAACACTGTTTAATCCGAATAGAAAGTTGCCAGTGATGGCGTTGCATCGTTTACAGCGTTGGGCTATTGTACTTCAAGCATATGAATACATTATACGGTTCAAAAGTTCATCTCAGAATGCTAACGCTGATGCTCTTTCCAGATTGCCGTGTGGGGATGACATACAATTTGATAGAAAGGAAGTTGTGATGTTAGATGATGTCGATACTGTTTATCAAAATGCTGTGGATTATCTTCCAGTAAATGCAACATTAGTAAAGGATATGACTGCTAATGACAACACTCTTCAACGTGTCAGCAGATATGTACAAGATGGCTGGCCTGAACAATTGCCGAAATCTGAAGGTAGTATCAAACCGTACTTTAATCGCAGATTTTGCTTATCATTTCAGAATGGAGTGTTACTTCTTCAGGCTGAATATACTAGAGTGGTGCTACCGAAAGCACTGCAATCTCAAGTATTAAATTTGTTACACGAGGGTCATTGGGGTAAAGGTCGTATGAAACAGATGGCAAGACGATATGTGTGGTTTCCTCTTATTGATAAAGCCATAGAACGTATTCATGATGATTGTTCATCTTGTCAACAAGGTGCAAGTCAACCAAAGCGAGAATTTTCTGCATGGCCAGAACCTAGTAGGCCGTGGGAAAGAGTTCATTTGGATTTCGCGGGTCCATTCTTTAAACGTATGTGGCTCATAGTTGTGGATGCATATTCAAAATTTCCATATATTGTGGAACTATCAACAATAACAGCTGTAACAACAGTTGGAGCTCTACAAAAAATTTTTTCTATCGAAGGTCTTCCGTACACTATCGTGACAGACAACGGAACACAATTCACGTCCAATGAATTTCAAAAGTTTTGTGAAATGAACACAATTCAGCACCTCACGTCTGCTCCTTTTCATCCGGCTTCGAATGGGTTAGCGGAAAGACATGTGAGAACTTTTAAGGAAGCAGTAACAAAAATTATGAAAGAGGAACAACATATTGACAAAGCGTTGTATAAATATCTTACAACGTATGGAACTACTCCAAACTTAGCAACTGATAAATCGCCAGCAGAGTTGTTACATGGGCGGCAACCAAGAACCATTTTATCGGCGTTGTTCCCGAAAGTTATGGAGACTATGAAAACTCAAAATAGAAATAAATTCGGAGTTGGAGAGAAAGTGTTAGCTCGTAATTATTCGGGATCGCATAAATGGATCAGAGGCGTGATACAGAAATTGCTGGGAAATAAAATGTATTTTATTCAAACTGAAAATGGTTACATAAAACGACATCAAAATCAAATACGTCGAAATTTATCGTCATCGCATTCAAATCAGCTTAGGGCAGATAATATTGATATTGATTTAGATTTCGGTATTCGGACACCACCGGTTGAGGAAACAACAATTACTACGGGATCCGACCCGGAACATAGTCAAACAGAGAAAGACGACAAAATGGGGACCGATGAAACAATAATCACTACTGGATCTGACTTGAAACAAAATCAAAGAGAGAAAGACGACAAAGCGGAGTCCGACGACAGATATGGGTCCACACACACTGATCAGTTGCCAGTTCAATTAAGACGGTCGGTTAGAAGGAGAAGACAACCTGTTCGTTTTAATCTAGAATAAACAAAATTCAATGTCATGTTAAACATTACTTTAGTGGTTTCAAAAATTAGGTCCAAGAGAATGTTGGAAATGTATAATCATAATTGAATAGTAGGCTATTCTTATTTGATTAACTGTATTTAACATTTTGTAAAAATATAGAAATAGATTAACTTTTGACTTCCGATAAGAATAAAGTTAAATTGTAAAAACACAAATTAACAGTTACTAACTTCAACAAGTTTGGCGAGGAGAGCAGTGCTGGAGTCAGGCTCACAGTGTGGTGCCCGAAAGAAGACGCGGAGGCGATTAAGACCGCAGGGGGTAGGCTCAACTGTGGTCTTGATCAAGCCAAAGTGAAATTCTAAAGGGATGCACGACGAGCAAGACAACGCCTCTGGTATGGGGCTAGCGGGTCTGTGTAGACTGTTAGGGAGGCGGGTGGGCCCATACCAGAAAAACATAAAGGTTGAACAACTGAATATTCATCACAGTAAAGCAGCATCAGCAATCATGCTGCGACAGTTTGGCGAAGCACGGTTGGGCCTTCTACTTATTTTATATCCGTGGATTGTTCAAATTTTTTTTTGGGTACTGGTACATCAGTTGTCACGTGTTTTTATTTTTGTTGAAATTAAGTATGTGCGTATGTTTTGGCAGTGGTTATATTGGTCCGATTGCCTCTTGTCTGGACACCGGGTTTTATTATGTTGCGTTTAGGTAGTGTTTCTAATTGGTTTATCTGTCGATCTTATGTAGCGTTGCTCTACTGTACCATCCTGAGTGAGTATGTTCTCATTCTTTTAGATTGTAACGTTTAGGCTTTAAATTTTCGTAGGATTTGGTGCGGCATTCCATATTTGTGGTGAGTAGCTATAGTAACAACATCTTGTAATTCTTCTTTTGTTTGTTGAACAATTGGGTTTGATGATTGAATCAGTGTGTTTGTGCCTATCTTTGTTGCGCTCGAATTTCTGAAGTTATGATCTTTCCCTGTGTTTTTGTGGTATGTCATTGCAAATTTTTAAATATGTCTCATATTAGTACCAATTGACATGTGCTAAATTTTTAAATACTTGTCTGTATTTTTTTCGTATTATTTTCTAGTCAGATTTTGAGAATATTGATTTTGGTATTTACTTGACTTTGTTAGTTGTTCCAAACCGTGTGCTGAGGAAACTCATTTTTACAGGTTTCGTTCAGACTCAAAGAATTTCTGCTGCGATGATTTTTGCATTCTGACTCGGTTGTCCCTTAACCAGCTTTATTGAGGTTTCGTATTTTGGTGGAGTCAGATTTGATGTAATATTTTATTCTATAAGGAAAGTCTTTAATAAATACATGCTTTGGAATAACCGAATCTGGGCTTTTATAAGGCCACAAATTGTTATTTTAAGATAGCTTTGTTTTCCCGGAAGCGTGAGTCTTGGCGGAATTTCTGTTTGAATATTGATTGGATTTCTGATGTGATTTGGTTTCATTAGTTTGTCACTAATGTTTCGTTCTCAGGGCTTGGTTAATCGACAGAATTTTGTTGCAATGATGGATGCATAGGTGAGTCATTTAGTACTTTCATTGAGATCCATTTTCCTGTAAGTTTTAATTTATGTGGCTTCTCCAGAAGAATTAACATAGAAATGATTTGGTGCAGAACTTATGGTGATTATAAATGTTGTTTGGACTGCTATTTTTACATTCGCTCCATTTAAGTCACCGGGGTTGGATGGCATATTTCCAACACTCCTGCATTGGTGAATTGACCTGCTCGCTGTTAGGCTCACGGAGATATTCAGGACATCACTGGCAACAAGGTACGTCCCTAAAGCTTGGAGAGAATCAAGGGTGACTTTTCTACCAAAGCCAGGAAAAAATGATTACACAGAAGCAAAGTCATTCAGGCCAGTTAGCCTTACCTCTTTCATGCTTAAAGCTATGGAAAAGGTAATAGTGGACTACCTAGAATGCACCACGCTAATGAAATATCCTTTAAGCAGATGTCAACATGCGTATAGGGCGGGGAGATCCACAGAGACTGCCCTGCACGAAGTCGTGAGGACAGCTAAGAGAGAGAGCTGACTTCAGGAGGCATTTCGATGGCCATCATGATGGTCATCGAAGGAGCCTTTGACAAAATAAGCTTTGATAAATTAAAATCTGCTCTAACTGACCGAGAAGTCGGTTCACTCATTATTGGATGGATAGATTTCATGCTAAGGCAAAGAGCAGTAAACCTACAAAATGGAAGACATAGACTGAGAGGCAGAACAGTCAGAGGCTGCCCACAGGGAGGGGTGCTTTGACCATTTCAGTGGAACGTGACCATAGACTCTCTACTTCAACAGCTTGACTTCAAAGGCATACAAACAATTAGGTATACGGACGATATACCATAGCACTGATGGTGAATGGCAAGTTCCCAGACAGCATTAGAAACGTGATGAGAGGTGCTCTCAAATGCGTCGAAAAATGGTATAGGGAACAAGGCCTGGCCATCAATGCCACGAAATCAGACACTGTCCTCTTCACGAGAAAGAGAAGTCTGTCAATGGAGCCCTTCTAACTTTTTGATAATAATATTCGCGTATCAAAGTCGGTGAAGTATCTAGGTATTGTCCTTGATAATAAACTGACTTGGAATGAAAATGTGGATGAAAAGATCAGGAAAGCGAAGAGAGCTCTATTTCAATGTAAGAGAGTGTGCGGAAGACGATGAAGGATATCCCCAAAATCGATGCACTGGATCCATACGATAATGGTCAGACCTATTATAACATATGCGTCAGTTGTCTGGTGGTGTAAAGTCACCCAAAAGACAATAAAGACGAAGTTAGATAGAGTCCAGCGACTAGCCTGTGTTGGAATATGCGAACTACACCAACACCGGCATTAGAGGCGATGCTAGGTTTGCTTCCGTTGGATTTACATATAAAGAAAACGACGGTACTGGCAGCAATTCGCATGAACCGGAGCTCCACGTGGAACAACTTCGGAAAATTAGTGGGCCATCGTAAGATTCTTGATCTGGTCCAGGCAGCGGTCAAGGAAACGCAGATGCCATTAGAGACTATGAGGAGAGTTTATGGGACAGAAGTGTCCTATAGAACACTGATAGTAGACGGCCTTCTACATAATGAATGTGAAATGAATGACATCTGCAACTTTACCGATGGCTCCTTAATGGATGGCAGAGTTGGTGCTGCGGTTTACTCGAAAGAGCTAAATCTAAAGTGCACTCTACATCTAGGAATATATGTTTCCGTCTATCAAGTGGAACTTATGGCGGTCTCACATGCTTTGGATCACCTATTGGATTGTCAGGTATATCAGAAAAAGATTCTGCTAGCGCTGGACAACCAAGCAGTTATCAAAAGCATGCAAAGAATGTGTACAAGAATGTGTAACGAAGCTCATGGAATGTGCTCATGGAAATGAGGTGACGATCATGTGGGTTAAAGGACACATCGGTATTGAGCAAAACGAGAAGGCAGATGAACTTGTAAAGCAAGAATCAAGCCATAATTTCTGTGGCCCAGAGCTCAGAATACTATTGGGGTACAGCATGACGGCAGCCTATGTCTATAAGTGGATAATCTCACTTCATCTTAATAGATGGAGAGAGTTGAGCACTTGTAGACAGACCAAACTCATGTTACCTAAACCGTGGGCCAGAGAAGCGATAAAGGTGCTTAGCTATTCACGGAGCATCCTAAGCTGGCTGACCTCACTAATTAATGGCAACTTCAAGTATCACCTCAAAAAGATAACTTTTGCTGAGGAAGACACTTGCAGACTATGTCTAGAAGAAAAGGAGACAGCGGTGCATATATTGTGCCAATGTCCAGCACTGGCAAGTAGGAGGAAAACTGTCTTGGGACACCATTGGGTTGGTGACGGCTTGGCAGGAAACCTCAAGCTAAATGAGCTGCTTGCATTAACAAAAGATGTAGTTATGCGAACGGAAGCCACTCCAGTTTTAACTCAATAACAACATCCGAGAATCGAAGGACGAAAAAGGACCCAAGTCGTTTCGTGGTCTACTTCGACTAATCCTTCACTTCAGTGGGGCCACTTGTTGGACAGTGC